AATAGCGGGGTGAGCGCGGGCCACCCAAAGTCTCACAACTCGCGTCGCCTCGAGGGTCTGCTTCCTTTCACTTCCGACGTTCGTGTTCGGTGTCTGCGTGGTTCTGCTAGCAAGGTCTGTCTTCGCCCCAATTGCAATCGCGTAGCCGTGGTGTACCTGGACGTCTTCATGCTGACTGATTGCCGTAGAGCCTGTTTCTAGGGCAACCCTTCGCATCGTCTTCTCCTCCATACCCGTACGCGCATGCCGGCAAGGCAAACATCCGCCTCACCGCGCTCACTACATCTACATCCAGCGCTTTCCGCGACAGCGTCGCTGTAATATATACCGCATTATCGTTCGAGCCGACTCGCTTTTGTCATCGTTCCATCCCATACAAGTTGAAAAGTGTCGGAGACTGAGGCCTGGAAAAACAAAGCACAGGGGCCACACAAGTAAAGAAGCGCTGTTTATCAAGACAGGCTCCACGAACGTCTGTACCGCCCAGTTGCATTCTCAAGAAACGTCCATTCACGAGTCCCAGCTGCTCGTACTGTTGAAGAGACATCGACACGTCCCATTAAGTTGGAGTACGTAGCAGAGATTCTGAGCCGAGCCCATTCTAGAGTACCAGTTACTTGTGCCGACGACCAACCAGAACGCTCTCAACGCGACCATTCCCATCCATTTAACGCACGGCCCAACAGCGTGCCTACGTTACCTAGGTATCGCTCACTCTACTAGAAGCGCAACTACCACCAGCTCGCGCTAGACCGATATCGCACGTAAAACGAGTCCCCGCAATTGCCGCGTATAAAACCACGAGACCCGCCTTTCAGTCACTCGCTCGATATCTTCAGTCGCCTCCCTCTCAACTCCTACGGGCGCGCCGTTCGTCTGGTCCTGGGTCACTCCCTACAAAGCGCCGCACAATAAGCCACGGAAAGTTATTCTGGTATCCATTATGGAGGCCGACCCGTCTCAGCAGACACAGCCTGCAACTCAACAGGTCCTGGATCCACGACGACTCGGCAGGAACAATTCGGGTCTTAATGACGGTGACATCGCCGATGTCTTGGTCATTCTCCACCCAGCTACTCCTACAGCCATTCGGATTGTCGAGCAGACAGCGCAAGATCGACCCGAGCATGTGCTCTTCCGCAATTCACTCGATTCCATGAGTAGTTCCATCACCGATGTTGAGGAGCAGGAGACATTCATCATCAACGCTCCGGAGGGACGACAAGGTACCAGCTCGCGGGCTGGCGCAGACCTTGCTTTACGCATGTCATCCGCGAAGAGATTGAAGTTCAAGCCGCTCGGATTTATATTTGGACGCAATCACCAGAGCGCCGATGTTATCTTTGGCCAGGACTCCGGTAAGAGGATAAGCAACCAACACTTCCGCATATATCTGAATGCGGATGGTCTTCTCATGCTCGATGACATGTCCACCAATGGCACCATAGTCGACGATGCGCTCTTGAAGTGCAAGGATCCACGCTTTAGTAAGATGCGGATGCTGAGCTCGGGATCGATCATCTGTATCCAGAACTCCAACGATGCAGAGATGATCAAATTCATCGTCCGGGTACCGTCTAGAGTCAATTACATGGACCGCTTCCGCGACAACCTGCGCAACTTCATCACGGAGTGCACTCCAGACGCTGGGGACGCACAGGGCAAGGTCATTCAGCGAATCACCAAGCAATATGGCGGACCAGCGATGAAGTGGGATGGTGGTGATACCTACAATATCGTCGGTATGTGTTGCTTCAATAAACAACCAATAACTGCTAACTCTTCCCAGGGCAGATCGGCAAGGGCGCCTTTGCGACCGTTTACCAACTCGCTGAAAAGATGACTGGAAAACTTCTCGCAGCTAAAGAGCTGGAAAAGCGCCGATTCATGAAGAACGGCATGCTAGACAAGAAGATCGACAACGAGATGAAGATCATGCAAGACCTGCGTCACCCAAATATCGTCCAGTTCCAAGAGTACCACGACCAAGGCGATTATCTCTACATCATCATGGAGTTCGTGCGGCAAGGAGATCTACAAGGCTACCTTAATAATCATGGATCCATGGAGGAGCATGTTGCAAGGTCAATGGCTCAGCAGATCCTGAGCGCGCTTAGTTATCTGCACCGCGCCAAGATCACACATCGCGACATCAAGCCCGACAACATTCTCATCTCCGATCTGGATCCTTTCACAGTCAAGCTGTCTGATTTCGGACTTTCAAAAGTTGTCAAGCACGAAGAGACCTTCCTCAAGACTTTCTGCGGAACTCTGTTGTACTGCGCCCCAGAAGTGTTTCCTGACTTCAACGGTCAATCAAAGGGAACTAAACGTCGACGTGGTGCCAAGACGTACCACTCGTATAGCTCTTCCGTGGACATATGGTCCTTTGGTGGTGTCCTATGGTATGCGCTATGCGGCGAACCTCCGTTCAGGGGTATCGCTGATGCTACCGGCGAAGCCATGTTCAATAACATCATGAAAACGCCCCTCGATCCGACACCGCTACGCAAGGCTGGGGTGTCCCCTGCTTGTATCGATCTTCTTACTGGTATGCTGCGAACCGACCCTGCAGAGCGTCCAACCGATCGCGACTGTCTCAACCATCCCTGGCTTAAGGATGGCGCGGAACTTCTCGCCGACCCGACTCTTCAGTCCATCGCGGAAGAAGACGAGCCTGAGGAGGCCGAGCAGCAGCTGTCGCAGCTCAGTCTCCAGGAGGAGGAGATCCCGGAGTCAGATGAAGACGGAGGCATTCTGTCCGATGAAGAGCTCATGGGCTTTGTCAACGAGCGTCAGCCAAAGCGAGTTCGCGCCGATCCCCTGTACCCGCGCAACCAGGTACGTGATCGTGGCGACTCAAGCGTTGAGCCGTCATTTACTTCCTCACACCTTGTAAACGAGGAGAGCTTTCAAATGGCCCCAACACCTAGGCAACCTCGTCTGTTCGGTGAAATTGGCCAGTCAGCTTTGCAGAGTTCCGGCGTCTTGAGCGCTCATGCTCATGACGCCCTGTCGCAAGATGGGTCTGTCCGCCTTGTCCAAAATGATGGAGCAGGCGAAACGAGTGACACCGCTGGTCAGTCGGAGTTTCAGGGTCCTTTCACTGCGCCCGCCCAACTAGAGCGCGGCTTTTCCTCGCCTAGCCTTCTTGGTACCGAGTCTTTGGTACGGGATCTCAACATGACCTCGCCGCACTCACCCGTATCCAGGACACAGAGCCCGGTCATGCCTGCGACCCCCAGGACCCCGGAGGTCGTTCAACACAATTCTTTGGAACAGTCGTCCAAAGACTTCAGTCAGATTAGTGAGCCAACTCCGAGAGCACGACCTATCAATCGCCAGATCAATCTTCCTTTGACTGCGTCCTATTATTACGATCCGATGGACCCGACCACGCATAATCTGGAGTATGCTTCCAGAGTGAGTGGGTTTGACTTCGTGTCCAATGGCCGCAATTCCAACACCGAAACATCTGCATATCCGGACACGACAGCAGCTTCGGACGCAAGTGCGCAGTCGACAAGATCAAGCATTGCGAGAGCACCATCTCCGGCGGCAGCAATCCCTTCTGTTCCAGCGGAGCTTGATATCCGTCCACCACCCCGGCGACTGGGTAAGCTCATCGCAACCCCCGACTCCTTCGCACCCAACCTTACTCTCAACATCGATCAGAGTAAGACTTCTTGGGGCCGCTTGAGCAACAATACGATCGTGTACGAACACAAATCAGATACTCGCGTTCCTAAAACAGCTTTCATAGTGTTTTTCTACTCGTCAGGTGGCCAGACCCAAGAGACAGTGGATGACCTGTCACAACAGGGCAAAGATTGGACCAGCTTGGAGAATTTGAACGTTGGTATCTGGACTTGCGCCACACATGGTATCTCCATAAACGGCAAACACTTGAAGCAAAAGGACGACAAGGGGCGTGTTATCTACGGACATCTGCACACTGGTGACATCATACAGGTGTACCACGATGTCCGCGGAATCGAGTGCCTCAAATTCCGCTGCGAGTTTTATCTTGGAGCTGGCAAGGAGCCACGACCGGCGGGCGACAGCTTCAGCACCATGATTGGCAGCCGGCTGTCACAGTAAATATGTCTTCGTCGAAGCAGAATCCATACGTCAGCGTATATACAACACAGCAGCAATTTCTCATTTCCTGGCCATTTTCATTCTATTCGGGTTAGCGGGCGTTGTTGGCTTCTGTACTACTACGACTATTCCTACACATTCTCTTTGTAACGGCATCACCTCGGTGTTGGGGCTCCAAGATCGAGCAAAGTCGTCTTTTTGGAGTGAAAGCATACTGTTTGGGTGGTACATGGTCGATACAAAGCGTATCATTTCGCATCTGGCAGAGAAATTGTGGATTGGACTGAGGGTGAGAGCATAGATAAACTGTGTATAGTGAAATGCCTAGAAAGGCAAGAACATTAAGTAAAGAAGATTACGAGTGAAGCAACTGCCAACATAGCAGATTCAACTTCCATCTTGCACTGCACTTCTCGGTGAATGTATGGTGGGGGTCATGATGCTTTAGAAAAACTCGGTCAAGCTTGCTCTCCGCGTTGCGTTGGTGATTCAGACGAAGCTTTTGCACGACACAGCTCTCCGTGACTTCACAGCACGTAGTGAACAATCGCCAGCTAGTCATGAACTTAGGCCAGAAGCTGGTGTTTCATGGACAACATATGGTTTTGCATAGCTCATTTCCTCTAAACAAATTGGCTCTGGACCTTCACTCTCTGGCGAGCCCTTGTCCTCCTCACTCTAGCAATACCACCGACTATTCCAATGAAAGCCGCAGCAACACTTGCTATCGCCCATGGGCGGTCAACAAACCACAACACCACAGCGACATCCGAGCCATGCCATGAGCCGCCGGGCTTGTGGCCGAAGAAGGTATACTCTTCTGAGTAGAAGATTCGCGGTAGAACGAGGAAGGAAGTGGGATCTGTGCAAGATTGGTTAGCTACTGAGATCTTTCTCATTCACAAGACAAGAATGGCTGACTTACCAAGATCATTCCGTGCCTTCCACTGTTTACATTGCCCATTAGGACACTCCTCAAACCATTCCTGCAAGATTGTGCTCGTGAACTGCGGTCCAGTTGTCCAGAAGATTGTGAGGTACGGGAAAAGTAGATTCCAGTTGTGTGTAACAAGGCCTTCCGTCATCTTCTTGACGACTGGATGCTTCGCCGCTGATGCCATCAAGTCGTTGTTGACGCCCAGTGGTGATGCTTCTGGGAACCAGGCTGGGAAGTCCAATAAGGGATCTAGTGAGCGTCGGCACGCGACGTCTAGGTCCATGTAGACGCCACCGAAGTGGTAGAGGGCGAAGTACTTCAAGGCGTCAACCTTTTGGATCTGAACGTGGGCAGACAAAGTCAGCATACGTTCCAGTTGCAGTGATACTTGTAGAGTACTGACAGGGTATCGGTAACCATCGTATGTCGGTAGAAACCAAGCATACTCGTTGGACAGGAACTCGCGAGCGCTCTCTGCATTCCACATGCGGATTTCGTAGCTGGGGTTGTGCTCTCGACAGAGTTTCGGCGACCCGAATCCAATAGAAGGGCCTCCGCTAGAGCCTTCATGATTTGGGTAGATTCTCTCAAACCATATGTAATGTATCGTGCGCGGGATCTTAGATCCGGTGTAGGTAGATGTATAGTCTGACTCCAGAGGTTGCTCGTTGCGCGCTACGGTATCGTTCAGAGCCTTAGCGTAGGGCTCAGGGAAATCGTCGAAGGTGATCTTGCGGCGCTCGATGTAGGCTTGGAAGGCATGTTGGCGCCTGAAGATACTGAAGATCTTTAACAACGCGGCAGCGATGACGATTCGAATGAGAATCTGGCGGAGGAACATCTTGTTCATGCTGTGGAGATGCTAGCTTCACTGAGCAGGAACAAAGTCCTTATGCATGAGAGATAGGTCGACCTTCCACCCTCTGCTTTGAGTAAGCGCCCCTGTGTCAAAGTTACTCTGAGCACCGAGTAGTCCTAGAGACACCGCCCCAACGCTAGTCTCGCACATACTATAGCATCGAATCATCTTGACAGTTGCGCCCTATAGCTGACAGGGTCATAGTAAGATGAAGTGTTGATCTCAGAGATACGAGTTTCAGGAGAAGGGTCGTGGGTAGCATGCCAGAAGTTGCACATCCTGGACCCATACTGCGGTGAGTGATAGGCCGAGGGCCACACAAATCTGTTGTCAGTGCCCAATAATCCACCGAGCATGAACAGAGAGAGGCGGAACGTGCTGCCACGGCCGTACCTAGAGCGCAAACTCCTCATGCTGATTTTCATCTCCGATCTCAGTGACAACGTGCACTTTTGTGACAACCTGTTCACTCGTGGAACGACTGTAGTACTAAGGCTTGCCTTCGCATATCCTGAGTTACTTTAGCACTCAATATCCGCGTAGAGAGGCATGAGTTGATTCGCTTTGCGGCACTTGCCAGCGTCGGACCGAGCGACTAATGTGACCAAGCTTTACAAGCTCCGGGTATGGTTCTCATGTTGACTTCAAGCATTTTGAGTACGGAAAGCGGCGTTTTGAAACGTAGAGCGGAGCTAGGCCACACAGCCACTGTGGGCGAGCTGCCTGTATAGTCCAGCCTAGTGGGCTAGCGCCCTTCGAGCGGAGAGGTTTCTACCGTTGTGACAGCACGGATAGGCCAGTTATGCTGAGATCCCGCCAATTGGGACTCGACCATTGTCCAATGACCGACCAGATGCACCCCAGGTTTCCTTCCAACTGGATGCAGTGGCTTGCCGTTATCCGGTAATAGCAGAACTGGCAACGGAAAAGCCCTTTTTCGCTGTCCACCGCTATACCCGCGATCGATTTGCTAGAAGCTATTAGTTTACATCACTCTTGATGTTTTTCAAGTGATTGTCGGCATTTAAGTGACACAGCACTTCGCAATGCTGAAATTGCGCGACAAATCAAAGCATGTGAGGACCAAGTAAAAGCAGCGCTGTCTTTGCGTGTCTCAATGCAACCTCTATACAACTTGGGATCGTGATTATCGGTTGGGTATTCTAGGGATCTGTCGACAAGTTGGAAAAAACGTCGCTTAATGATGAAACCTGCTTCTACGAAACGGCAGGTCCTAGTCCAGATCCAGGGTAAACCTAGTGTTTATGCGCGTCGAGGGGTTCCCGTGCAATGTTTGCAAGCTCTTTAGGGAAGTGAAAGAAGACGACTTGCTGCGCCACAGCTGTTCCAGGATGAGAACTGGGGAAAGCTTAGTCGGATGGAAATTACTGCTAAATGTGTGTCGCACGTGCCAGTTTCGAAAGCGTAATATATATCCAATAGCGGAGGTGACCGATGTCGTCTATTCGTTCTTGACGAGAATGGAAACCTGCATATTCATTTAGCGGATCAGCGCACTCGTGGCCATGCACTCATTGCAACGGGGCTTCTTATTCAGGAAATCGATTCGGCTCGCTTTCTACGCTTGACGAGGTTGGTATGACTCGCACCTGATGCGCGATGTGAGAAGCTGTGTGCAGAGCGGATGCGCAACCGGCGAGTTCTGACGCGGCCCCGTGTTCGCCAGTTTCGAAGGACCTAAGGTTACTAATCAAACAAGCTCAACTGATGCGTGGAGTAAGAAACACCAAGATCTCGCTGATGTCAAGGCATTGTACGATACAGGGGTTCTGCGTTGTACGTTACAGGGAGTTTCCGTCGCGGGTCATTCCTTCATTAGATGTGCCAGGGAAGACGTCGCTGCACATTCCGGGAAAGGGTTTCCTGTCGCTAAATCGATGGCCGGCGTAGTTTAGCTGGTTCAGCAACTTCAGCTGAGGGGACCGGAGTTCAACTTCAAGTGTTGGCGATCGGATCGTCGCGAGATGAGCGGGAAGCGCGAAGAGATGGACCCAGGGAGTTGGTGCAACATCGGTGGCCTGATGCGTGGCTTCCTGCACGGGGCCAAGGCAGACCCCGTAGTGGATTCCAAGACCGGGGTGGCTTATGTAATCTTCGTCTGTGGATGCCGATGTCCCCTAATGCGGCGCTCGGCACTGTCACGGCAAACTCCGAGGTTGTTCGCAGGCATGGTCTCATCACAACCTTAACATCGGAATTGGCTACGTTCACTCGGACGGCCACTAAGCTGCGCGGGGGGTGATGGTGCGTAAAGTACACATGTAGTTTCAACTTTGTTGTCAGCTATCCTGTAGGTGCTGGCCACCCACGTGTAGCAGCAATGTGGTTTGCGCTTTCCACCTTCCCCAGTCCTAGTACACGTAAATGAAGTCTTCGTTTTTCATGTCCGTCAGGTCAGAAAAGCCGTTATCGTGCTCCTGTCTCTGATCTTGCGCCTCCATCTCCACACCCTTTTGTGTCATTTCTTTCTTCTTCAGCATACTTTCGTCAACCCTGACTGCGCTCTTGCCCAATTCTTCTCTGCGCTTCGCGTGCCTCTTGTTCAACAGTGCTAGGTAGACGGGGATCAAGAGCGCGATGATAGCTACGAGTGCGAACATGACCAAGTTGGCGATCAGGCCAGGCCGGTAAAGAGGCGCGTCGTCAACCGAATATAGCAGCGGGCCGATGACGTTGCCTATTGTACGCAGTTAGTGTCGTCTCCCATCAGGCCGTGAACGGATATTACTTACCGGTACACATCCCAATGAACACCATAGCCGACGTGCACTTCTTCTTCGTGTCACCGGCGGTGTTTTGAACATGCCAAGTGTATATCAAAGGTGTAATAGCGGCGAGGCATGATACAAGGTAGTAGCCAAAGAGTAAAACGCCTTTGTGCTGGCGCGGCACGGTCAACATCATTATCGTGCCGATTATGGGAAGGATGGCAACGAGGGCGATGGCAAGACCTTTGCGGCTCCAGCGCGTTGCACCCCAGGAAGAACCCAGGATGCAGACAATCTGAATGACACCGAAGGGTATGTTGAACAGGATAGATTGGAAGTTGGTGTAGCCGAAGTCGCGGATGATGAGGTTGCCAAAGGTGGAAATACCGCCACTTGCTATGCTATGCACGGAATGAAAATCAGTAACAAGATTGAGATATAGAGGGCCATTACTCACGATATCGCGATGATGGCAATGAACCAACACCAGGTCTTGAGGTCAATCAAAGTCTCCCAGACCTGATCCCACTTCCATTCTCCTGACTGGATGCCCATTTGGTTAGCCCGCAGACGCTCGACTGCGATGAACCTTTCTCGCTCGGTCAAGTATTTGGCTTTCATCGGGCTGTCCGGCATTAGGACGAGAACGACGAATGCATACACCACAGTCAGAAGACCGCAGAACATGAAGATGACCTGGTACTTGTACAACGACTCGCTGTTGATGTGTCCGAGGCCGTAGGTGAATAGTGAGCCAACAATGAAGGTGACTCCATTCATAGCGTTCCAGTATCCAGTCCGAAGGGTCTGTTCGGACCGGCGCCACCACATCGTTGTAGTTGCGACACAAGCCGGTGCGATCATGGCCTACAAGAACGAAGATACGAAGTTAGCATGCGATCCACGTGCATTCCCTACAGCCGCAACTTACCTCGAAAGATCCCAATACGAACCGCAGACCAAGAAGGCTTTTGAAATCAGTACAGGCGGCCATGATAGCTAGACTGCTACCCCAGAGGAAGATGGCTGTGCCGATAACTTTTCCTGTCGGCAATTTGACCAGAAGGAAGGCTGCGAGGGGCTGCATAACTAGCTGGGCCAAGTATAGAATAGAGCCGAGCCAGGAGTATTGACGTCCTACTAGTTTGGCGTCTGCTTGCAGACCGAAGATGGAGACGTAAGATAGGGAGGATTTGTCGAGCTGCTGGAAGAAGTAGGCTCCTCTATTCGTAGACACAAAAAGTCAGTCCATGTTTCATTCGCAGCTGATTAAAAACCACTTACAGCAGAAGAGGGAGGACGCGATAGTCTACGCGCTTGAGAACAGCGCGCTCTTCTTCATATGAGAATGATGCATCATCAACATGAGCGTTGGCCAGAAACTTGGCCGCCGCATCTGCCTTCTCGACTTTCTGTGCAGGCGTAGGATTAGAGTGCTCGATATGTGTTATGGCATCTTCTTTGTGGGCTCCAGAATGCATGGTCGCCATGCTGCTGCAGAACGAAGACTGTAAGACGCTTGGTTGCTCTCCGAATGACTTACCAAGTGACCGGCTCGTCTACTTATCAGACAAAAGCCCATGCTCGGATACCAGAGACCGACTGGTTGCGTCTCCCAATCCCGGTCGCATCCAGGTATCGATTGAGCGACGCCCTGGATGGCCATGTGCATTTCGAGCTTCCTGCTTGTGCTAGAAGCCCCTCATAGCTCTGTTGTTCCACGTATCAGGACTTGCGATTCCCTCTTCACTCGCAAAGATACCGGGTTTCCATGAGCTTTAGGCAAGGAGTGAGCTTCCCCGCAGAGCTCACGCGGTAAACTCTATTCCTGGCCATGATCGTCTCTGCTTCACTTTCCCCACGGGGGTGGATGCTGTGGGGCCTCTCTTCTAAACATTGGTTCACCGGTCGGCTATAGTGACGGGAGAATGCAAGATCGACGTCGTAACATGATGTGGTTCAGCGTTCGGGATTGACTGTACCGAATATCGAGGGGTGTGACCGGGGTAGCGATACACCGATGCATCATCATAGAATATTTCCAAAGCTGTTAAGAAACGGCTAGAGAGCGAAGCCTTTGATCGTCTTATTTCTGATTCAACTTCTACTCTTGTATTATTTGTTAGCGAATATGGCTGGGGAAAACAAGCAAAAGAGATATGCGCTGATTGGCACAGGCGGCCGTTCGTCCTTCTTCTACACCGCGATCGCAACAACCTACAAAGAAACCTCGGTTGTCGTAGCGCTATGCGATACGAACCA